TATTCTGCCGATGCACTGCTTCCTTGTTCCATGAAAATGCATCTGACGGTAAAAAGGTAAGGCGAACTTCGAAGTTTTGCTGCTTTTGAGATTATCTGGCATGAAAAAAAAGCGTTTTCTTTTTTGTTAGTTCTACACTTCACAAGATGAGTTTCTCTAATATTTTCACTTTCATTCTCTCTCACCTCTCTCTCCTTTCTCTTAACAAAAATCGGACTAAAGCTTGATCCGCAAACTACCGCCTGAGGTTTGGTTACTTGTGTAATTTGTATAATCGAGGAAAGATAAAGGAAGCAGTTGCTAATAGTCGGATCTTTTTTTTCATTTTATAGTGCGGAGCTGAAAATAGGCATTTCCGGTCATCAAAATAGACGTGAACTGCGAAATGCTTATACTCAAAAAATCCATATTTTTACCGTGCAATTGTTTCATCTAAGCGCATGTAAACAGTGCGTCACAAATTATTAGCACTTCATATGCACCATAATGTGAAGCTTTTTTTAACTGTCCGTGCCGTCTTGAAGTAGACAAGATAAATTTCAGTGTTGCTTCCTGCGCGGCTGTCTTTGTTTAACAGGCACCAGATCCATCAGTTCTGTGTGTTTTATCACTTACAAATAATGGACAGTGGGGATATTTAGCACAAAAATATGCATTTATTCGAAGCAAAGCAAATCCAGTAGCCTACGCTTCACTCTTAACTGCCGGTTCACGCAAAACAAAATTAATTAGCTCTGTCAGAACAGGTGTGCGTTTCCCGTATAAATTGATCACCCGAAGCATGAATTAATTGGTCCAGTCGATATCAAGGTCTTAGAGAGTCTGTGGCAAACGGATCCAGCAATTAGCGGACAATTAGCATTCGTGCTTGCCAACGCATTTTGTTTTTGCCTAGCCCAACTGTTAAAGCTGCTCATTCCCAGAATTTTTATCAACCTCGCATAATTATTGCCCCGCACCATTTCGACAGTGTATGAACAGCAGCACGCACAGCTATGGAAATTCTCCTTCTTTTGCAGTGCGAGATACAGCTGGTCAGAATGCCTAATCAACCGGGGGCGGAAGAGGCTAAATTCATGCGAAACAAGGCATGTTTAGTCACTGAGTGCTGAACAGTGTCGAAAATCAGCACTGATCCAGCAAAAGCTAGAATTGAGCAACAAAACCGTTCGGAAAATAAAGTAAAAGCAGGGCGTGCCATTTTGGCTGAGGGGCGTCAAGCTCTGATTGTATTTCATCCTTGAGCCCTATATAAGCAAAACTTTGTCCCCAATTAGCCATTTATCTTTTCTAATTTATGGCTTCGTGCGTGGCTGTAACGAGACATGACACGAACTAGTGCTAAAACATTTATCATTAATCGAAGAATCTTTGTGGCTTTCAATGAATTATTCGGTTTCTCAATTTCTTATTCTAAATTATATCAACAAAAGTAAAAACATATTTTTTAAAAAAAAAGTTCAAACATCAACAATTAAGAGACTGTCATTATAGGTGCTATATATGAATCAATGTCAAAAGAGAACTCCGCAATGCCGCGTGGAATTCATCGTCTGATAATGTTGATAGCGGACAGTTTTGGGTGCACAGAGACTGAGAATGAGAAAAACCGCATAAAGCATGCCAATACCGAGTACATCGCCAACAGATGTTAGTATTGGAAACGAACTGTTGTCGGGGTCCATTCTTAGCCACCATAACGTATACACTGTTACTTGACATAGGTAAAACAACACTAGCCCCTGGAAAAAGCTCAATTATCTTGCTCAAAATCAAAATAGTTTCAAAACTTAATGTAGGAACTAAAACGCTTGCCGCACCTCAATTTTCTAGTAAATGAAGCTTTAAAAGGCAATACCTGTAGACAGAACTATGAAGTCCTGAGCTCGCTGCGATGTTTTATGGGTCATTATAAGTCTTGCTCCCCCAGGTGCTTTTTTTAAACTGCTCCTAGTTAACATTTCTTCACTTTTCGAAAAGCTGCTGATTAAAATAAAAGTTTTAAAAGTGTGCTTATAAGCAGTGAACAGACTCTACCTGTACAAAGGCTGCTACGACGTATGCAGAAACAAGTATCCAACTGAAATCAACATTTTTGGCTGCGAAAATAACAATGATGACAAATAAAAAATTGTATGGAATTGCCGTCAGAAGCAGCAGAAATGCTACTTTGGAATCGATATCTGAAAGCAAAATAGGGCACTTTATATCTGAGATACGGAACTATCAAATGAAGTCCCAGAGATTTCCACACTACCCGGAAAAACCGTTTTATTTCTAAAAACGTGATTGTATTTTTGAAAAAAAATTTGATCCAGAGATAAAACGGCGCATCTAAGAACATCTGAAAACTACAACTGGTCATCACTATGCCCCATGCAGTCATTCCGTCCAGTCTAGTCCAGTCTATGCAAGCAATCTGGTCCTTTCCACCACTTATGCTGAACCGCAGTGGGATAGACTGGCCGGCCCATTTCAAGCCTCTAAAGCTTTTCGAATACTTGTTCTGTAACGAATTTCAGCAAAGAGTGACGACCACTGCAATTGACAAATAAACATAAACTGCGTGATCACATAAGTTCTTCGGCCCAGCTGCACAGAAAAATGCTTTCCTTAAGCACCATAGAAATTTGTACAGCTTATTTTACATAGAGTCTTGCCAAACTTCAACGGCAGAGAATGAATTTCACTGGATTATTTGCGTGAGGGCCAGTGTTGCAGTACAGATCGAAACGTTCATGATCGCTCTCTGAATCTTAATAGTTTGTTTAGCTTCCGCGGGTTCTGCTTATTAAAAGGCGACATCAGCTGATTTCAAAGCGTGAAAAATATGCTGTTCAACCTTTCTTTACTAGCAGTTTCATCGCTACACATTTTTGCGCACCTACTACTGGCAATATTGCCACTTTTCTTTTTTCAAGGCTCATCGCATTTTTGTAAATTCACATAGGTGAAGAAATCAGTGCCGACAATGGAAGTAATAGGTGGACGTCCAAGCGAATGCGATAAAAAGAGAAGTATATATCAAATAGATACAGCAAGACTTACGCTGTAAGCACAACAAGCGAAATGGATTGAAATAAGTGCGCACCGTTGTACCGTCAGGAAGAGTGCCAAGCGGATATGGAGATAGGTGCAAAGCAGTACAGAGTCGACTTGACTGTACACTCACACGGTTGCCACCGAGGCCTTGAAAGTGTTCAGTTTAAGCTGATGGTTCACACGATATGAAATGTAGAAAGCATCTCTGCGAGATGGATAAGCTACTGGCAAAGCATTGACCTTTTAAATTCTATCCTTAATTTTCCTTTGATACTATTCAGCGACTTTTCCACATTCTCGTCTCGAGAGGTGCAGACTTCACATCATATGGGAAATTACCAAAAAAAGGGGGCAAATTTGAGTGCAGGCACTTGCAGTGGCCGGTAGACATAAGTGTAAGCACCCACAATGAGAGCTGAACTAGCGTTAAAGTGCTCAGAAGTGCCTTTGGTGGACTTCGTTGGTCTAAAAAGTTTCTTAATTTCTAATTCCGCTCAAAACGATTTTCATTTTACGAGCTTTTTCGACCAACTAGGACCAATTCTGTTGCAAACTAGTGCGACCTTTCGCGTTCGTCACCTTTAGTGGGCTAGAGAGATAATCCCTGGATGAATTTTATCACCTTGCAATTTGTAGTAGAATTCACTGTAAATACTATAGATGTTTTTATTTATATTTTTTTCTACCTTTTTTCTATTTTTTCATTTTTTGATTCACTACCGTAATCCAATCCCATCGTCCTATCAGAGTTATATCCTTATCTAGCGCCATCTTCCTCATAAATAATTTTTTGCACTGTCTACCGTGTCTACTCGGCTTTTATTAGTGCTTAAAAGAAGAACGTTACCGTTCTTCAAGGGCGGGTCCCGGCACCGTTTTCCTTTCCAGCTCACTGAACTTTGCCTTCAGTTTCTACGCGGTAATTCAAGTCAAAACAAGGATGCCCCATGCGAATACTTGTATAGAGGTACATGAACTTGTTTAGCAGTACTCCTGATATGAGCCCTACTATAAAAAATTCAGTTCTTATTTGGCGATGTTGTTCAATTTAGTGAGGCTAGAGACAGACCATGAATTTGATGAGTTTATTTCATTAAAAGTACTCAAACTTTCACTGTGAACCTGCAAAGTTACTCAGAAGAGGGCAATTTTGTAGTCTGATTATTTCAACCCCTCGCTGTTCCATACAAGAATAACTTCCCAATTTCATAAGTTCACAATAATCCAATTACATAACACTTGTAAAGTGCAGATTATTGGGTAATAAAACAGAACTGCTCTATAATTTTTGAATGGCAAAAAATTTGAAAAAGAACATATTGTAACCCAATTTCTTCGCACCTACTTCTGCTACTTTTCAGTGAATGTAAGTAACGCCAGTTATTATCACTAAGTTCTTGTAACGGCTGGACCTGTAATTAATGGATGAAGCGCAGCAATGCCAGGAAATACTGAGATCGATGATTGCAACAACAAGCCACTAAAACTGAAAAAAATTTTTTGGAAGTCAATTTGCTGCCTTGTAATCACTGAAACTTCAAAAAAGAAGAAATTCAGTCATATTTTCTGAGTGAAGCGAGCTTAGTTTTGTCTTATAAAATGTTTCTACCGTACTCAATAGATGCTGACTGTTAACAAAAGGCATCAGAAAGCTAGGTCTGCGAAAAATCGGTATAAAGCACAAAAAGTATGCGAGAAAGTTTGCTCTCCTAAAAAGTTTTTCGTTTTCGAAAAAAAAATTAGAGCAACCAACCATTCAGCAATGGTTGCAGCAACAAGCGCAGGCCAACCATGCTTGAGTATATCTCTGGTATGCGGATTTTTGAAAGCATACCAGGCCATGCATGGTGTTGCGCAAAGTAAAAACAGTACCAGTAGGACGCTGAATAGACATGCTTGGTGTATGCATAGGTACAGAAATAACATTCCACAGCCAATCTAAATTTTTTTCAAAAAAAAAAATAGTATACGTACTGGAAGAATATTACGCTTTCACTAACTACCAGTCGCTAACCTTAATTAACCGCTTGTTTTAGTGCAAATATATTAACCTAAAACAAAGTCTGATTTTCGCCAGTTTCAAGCGTTATTCACACTTTCCATCGCTTTTTTGGTAGGATCCACTATTATTTCTTATTTATGCTGCTCCTTGGACGCGTAGCTGCTTGGCTGTATCATCAACCGTTGATGAGGCTACCATTAACTTGTACTACTTAAGCCGATCCGGACAAATGCGCACAACTCCCTATCACGTGATTGGAGTTGTTAAAATTTGCACCTCGATGCTCTCCTAACATTGCCTAGTCTGTCACCATTCTCACACTACAATGAAGTGCTCAAGATGGAATTTCGCTGTATATATATATATATATATATATATATATATATACATATATATATACGTATTTAACAGTGTGATATATATCTTACGAAGCCTTTTTATTGTTGCTCACCTTGCCGACAGTGAATGGAATCCTAGAGCTATATTTTGACTCGTATTTTAAGTTCCAGTATGCGCTCGTTAATGTAAAAAGTAAATCTGACAAAAGCTTTAGTAATTTTACAAGTGTTTTAAGACTACTTTTCCCATGGATGAAGAAGTGAAGTTCGATCGGACTAAGTCGCGTGTAGATGAATAAAAAAGTACCAGCGCAAGCAACGTGATAAAATCGCTGAAGGTTGCCGTTATAGGAGCAGCGATGTTATCCGGGTCGATGTCGTAACGACGCGTAATAACAACTAAAACGACCATCATGGTTCCAACAACGAGAGACGACAAAGCAGCCGCATAAATGCCGCTAGCAAATACTACCAAAAAATGAGATGAATTGAACTGCAATTGAACAACTCATGAATTTGTACCAATGATTGTCAGAAGCCAACGGCATTTTCAGCTTTTGACAGATTAAGGCTGTTTTCAGGACTGACTACTTTCTCAAATCGAAAATATACGATTTTGTGATTACAGTTTCAGAGGCGCTCGTGAGTATGTGTTTTTTGTCATATTTTTCGTTGAAGTGAACTATTTTCACGATTCATGTTCATAGCTTTTGCTCGTTATCAACTTATAAAAAAATGGGGCTGAATTATTATTAATTGAGAACACATACCAGAAGATGAAAGGAGATGCAAATTAATTTGTTTTATGGCTCCGCAGACGGTCTCAAAATTTCTACATCTTCGCTTTCGCAGTTCTGGTGCCTGTTTATCCGGAACGACACATATGATCTCACCGCAATGTGTTTTTTTTTGCCGCATAGATAATGGAAAAACGTGTGAACAAAAACATGCAATCAAACGTGAGGCATGCAAGGTGGTTTAGGAGTACATTTTATTGATGCTGCACATCATAAAGTGGTGTAAGGTAAAATGGACTCTTCGGCCCGTCTCTCTAGGTAAAGCAAACGTTTTGAACATAGAAGAAAATAAATGAAAGCAAGTGATTTTCACTATCCTGAGCATTAGATTTTAGAACTTTTTTATTAGGTTTTTCTATTAATTCAAAATAAAAAATTGAAATTTTTGAGCTTTATTTGCGCATAATAGAAAGCAAGAAGCAGGAAATTTAGTGTCTAGTCTCGGTCCCATTTACTACAAGTCGGTGTAGCTCCAAAAGAGCTGCTCCGTAAATACCTTGGTTACATTTATAAATAAACACGAAATTACACTAAACATAAGAAATACAGTTGACCCTACTTTGTCCACGTGCGCCAATATCGAATGGGAAGCACCAGTGTAGAATGAGGAATTGCACAGTTGAAGAAATGGCAGAATAATGCTTAGAGAAGCAAATATATGTAAGTTTTTTAAAAGCTAACATCGCAGCTGATCAGGCTAATTGCAGTGCTAAGAACCGCCGCCAAAAATGACAGGACACACGCTTGAAATTCGACAAGGCTCAAATTAAATCGGGCAACAGTAAAAATTTCTTCAGCATTATGAGTTCGACCGGCGTTGCTCTGGAAAAATTCATTTCACTTAAAAAATTCGCCTATTGATGCCAACAATAATTAGTAGCAAATATCATGCACCTAATTATCATACTAAACCATTTACATCTGCTAATTTATAATTATTCAATAACTTTAACCGCATTTTTTTCATTGATTCACATTCTGATAAGGAACTCGGTAAATCCCGAGTACGAACATTTGGAAAGTCGGCACTGCCAATTTTGCAACTCCGCAACAAAGATAGCTATAGGGCTTAAATTTCGGGGTACGAACCCAGGTATGCCTAAAATAACCTTTCCAGTGCGCTAAATTTCAAGGCCAACACACAAGGAATTTAATGCTGACAGCTTAACTGGTTATGCAAAAAATAAATTACTGTATTGGCAATCCTGGTACACATCACTAACTACTTTTTTTTGCCTTCTCACTTTTCAGTTTGGAAAAAAAGACTTGTGCAGTTCATGAAGCCACAAACCATTGTGCAAAATCGAGATGCATAAGTCACTTCCAGATTACCCTTCAGACCAAGTAATGCCGGGATCAAAACGAACGATTCTGGAACACTTACGAAAAACCACCAGTGCTGGGCTCTTTCAAAGAATAGGCCTGTACAAATTTGTCCAAGACCTGCTACGAAAAATGGAAGTAGTGTCTGAAACAAACATTTGAAATCCAATCACATCGGGCTTTCAAATTATTATGTTATTCAAATTGTGGCGTTTCCCCTCCCCACCCCCTCCCCCCTACCCCGTCCCCCGTTCCCCATCCAGCCCCTTCCACCGTCCTACATCTCACTCACGGAAAGTTGACGTCAACGATTTTGCCCTCTGCAATCAAACTGCCTAGAGAACTAAACTTTTTTATGAGCTTGATTCAGGCCGCATTTCGCAGATCGGTATATGTGAAACAACCTTAGCGCACCCTTATTATCTTATGCATAGGCATGCGGAACAATTCTTTAACTCAGCAACCAGACTTGCTGGACTAAAATTTTGTAAGCAAGCCCACAACTGTGTGCGGCAATTATGGCTAAAATCAAAATGCAAATCTGATAAATTTCACATTTAGACAAGTGACGATTTTGTCAGCTAGTTAAGAAAATTTGGAAATGTGACACTACCGTCACTGATTAAATTCATCTTAGGAGTATTCCTCAAAGAGTTGTCTACCTTATCCCGCAGGCTGCAAAAATTTATCCTTCTTTCATATCTAGCCTAGGAACTACATTTCGTATTTCACTAAAATTTGAAAAAAAAAACACACATACACACAAAATTCTCCTTATTAGTCATTAGAGCCGATTGAGCTATTACAGTATCACACACAATCCTAGTAGCTGGAGCCCTCACAGTGTGGATTTTTTAAAATGACTAAGTTATTTTCGCAAAATAAAGAACGATGTTGTGAAAAACCAAAAAACCATAAAACATACTTGTTTTAGAACATTCCACAAAATCACACTTTCCTTTCGTCTTTCTAAATTATTGCATTTTTAAATCCAAAATCACATTCCTATTTTTTGCAAGGCTCACAAACTGAATCAAACGCATCAGTGCTGAAAAATCTTGATTGAAAGAGGAGACGCGATGAGAAGTGTCAAGTGCTTTCTTCATCACTGCGTATATATTAATTTTCAGCTTTTGATAGAGAATTTATTACTTGTTTGATGCTTTTATCAGTTACCGACGATTTTAGTTAACAAAGAATTTTGAAGCTAGAATTGCAAGTATTTGTGCTCTAGTAGCTTGTTGAGTTCCTAAGAAAGTGTGGGCATACTGTTGGATGATTGAAAAAACGCAATTTCTTTTCGACAAATGCAGGACAAAAAATTACAGATTGAAAAACGAAAATTAATCTCACGAAATGCGCATCCGAATGGATCAGGGATACTTTATAAAACCCACGCCTTTTGTTCACAAACTAGGTCGGAGACAGCAGAAGCAAAGTTTAAATGTTAAAAGCGAACAAACTATGACCGCTGGGTCCAGCTGGACAAAAGGCCGATAGTAAAAAAAAGGGGCCCTATTAGTAGTGGAGCCAGAATGAGAAGCTGAACTTGAAGTAGCGAAGGGATTATTTCTGGAACTTCCAATATTTCGGAAAATAAATTTACAAAGCGTACCCACCTGTGGAAGATTACGAAGTTCACACTTGGCTAGAACGGATGGTTAGAAGATGAACAAACAAAAAAAACTGAATAAAATTAAGCCTCTACGAAGGGACAGAAAAGGACTGAAGAACGCATCAGGTAAGAATTCAGAGCACGAAAGATCCACTGTTTAGACATTTTGAGAAAAATAAAAAAACCAATCAGAGCATTCATTTGACTGCTCGCGTCGCGTTTCCTGTAGGTACTGTAATCACCTTTACCTCATGCCCACCTACTGATCTGGCTAACTGTTTGAACTTGATCGGACAAATGCCTCGTAAGCTGTATTTTTGTTTTATTATATATATTATACATATTATCTAAACTATCGCATGTTATTACTGAATATCGCTATCGCTATAAATGTTGTTACTAAACTAAATATCGCTACTAGAGCGATAATTATTAAGTAATTTATTGTAAAACACGTCCATTGAAAAACTGTTGAAAGTGACCCATGTCCCATGCTCCTTGCTCACTTAAACTCCTGGAAGTGTCACACTTTTTCGGAAAAACTCATTTCAGCTGCTGCTCAAATTATGCGTCAGTAATTTGCCAGAAACACTCAGCGTCAGTGCTCCGTATTGCACCCACGTCTGGTGAACTGACAGTTTCCATTTGTACCGGTCACATTCTTTTCAAGAGATAAAGCTATTGTTCGTGATAAAAGGATGAGCAGTATACAGATTACACAGAAGGACTGTTTTCTGTAAGCTCTTGTTATGTCTTTTACAATCTCGTCTACAACTTTTCTAATTTTTAAGCTAAATATCGTATGACTTATCATTATAGCAGCATGCAACCTGGTAAGCGATCGTAAGGCGAGCCTGACTTGACAAATGTCAAATCGGAATGTGTAGATTGCGAGTCGTGTCCCTTCACTGACGTTAAATCCGATTTTGTTGTCTCCATATTATGCTGCTTTCCTGAATTCAGAAATTGCAGGCCCCAGTATCGGAATGTGCTAATTGATCCCAAGTGACACTTCCCACGTTCAATTTGGGAACGAAGTTATTAGTCACAAAAAAATTTCTAAGAGCAATGCGATCACATGTATCACTAGTGTTCACCAAACGAATTTGGTTCTGGACTTGCATGGCACTCTGGCAAAACCTATTCCTTTATTTTTTTCTCCTTTCAGAAGTAGTGGCTTAATGTAACGACCCAGATCTTTGCAAAAAAATATGTTGCACTCTTGACTGTCATGTGAACCGCTATCTCTTTCTTCTGCATACTTCCTGTTAAGGCTAAATTTTGACGTTCCCACATCACTGATGGAGCGAACTCTATATAAATCATGTAGATTTCGATCTCGTTGTTAAGATAATTCCTCATTTAATATTAGCAACAGACAACGCAAAAAATGATTTATGAAAAATTACTGTGCCACCTAAACTGAGAGTTGTATCTGCAGTTTCGTGCCGAGTAAAAAGGTTTTTCTTAGGGTATCTCAAAAAAATTAAAAAAAGGCTAGTCTTTTGGCTGCTTTCTGAAAATTAAAAGAAAGGCTAGTCTAAAAAAAAGGCTGCTTTCTGAAAATTAAAAGAAAGGCTAGTCTAAAATGTGCTACTTGCAAGGCATGGCGCTATGGCATGCAGGGTTACTTTTTTGTTGAAAGTGGAAAATTCGACTGCAGCAGTGGAACAACCAATCTCTCTATGATGCATTCACTTCCTTCGATGAAAAATTAGTACTGGCACATGCGAGGGAGTCAAAGCAACAATAAGCTTACTTCTATGCAGCTCTCGAAATAGAGATCCATCGAAAGCCTTATCAGCGGATGATTGCTATTCACGCTTATTACTACTCGGACTACTTTCGAGTGCATTCGCCCTTTCACAGGGAATGAGGTACAGAAGAGTCCTTGACTTTTAACGTGAAAATGTATGGCTAAGTAAATTCACTGACTGGCGCCAACATGACGGATGTGATGCTCCATGCAGAAGACAAAAGAAAAAATTTTCTCCGTGTGAAAGAAACTGCAGTTACAAACCGAAGATTTAGGGATGTACGCTGTTTACCTTAACAGTGTAAATGCAGCACAGACGCGTGAATTCAACCACTTCTCGTCTAACAAATTAAAATATGAAGCTTTTTTACCATGAGTTGAACTTTTTGTTTCCAATTTATCCTGTTTCATTTTGAATAAGAATGCGGTTGATGCTGCAGCGTACAACTCAGCAGTCGTCTAACGAAGTGACGGAGGAGCTTCAAGCTCTTGCAATCAGTACATTTGAAAATCGCACGAGTGCTGTTAAAAGCATGTGTTTTTGTACGGTTTTATACAATTGAAGCGCTGCATACAGTTTTGGCTTTCAGTTACCCAAGGTTTATGATTCGACATCTATGAATGTGTGCAAAATAATGAGAACCTTTTACCAGCCATTTGCTGTGCAGCAAATGGATTGCACAGAGCATTTACCCCCGTCTGGTTTTCCAGTCAGAAGAATGTCAACGATTTTACAACCTGAAAATTGCTAAGGGTATATGCGAGACATATGCAAACATGAGAGTTGATCCTATGCTTTAGGTATCGTACAGGACTAAGCAACAGTTTTCTTAAAACTTTTAATTCTCCTGGTTTTCGAGGGGAAATTTGACGCGTTTGAACGTGAGGTCTAGACACAGGCGAAGGCTCATTTTGGGCTTACAAGCTCGCGCAATATTCGCTTAAAAAAATACAGCTTCCTACTCAGATTTTCTGATTTCTGTTCAAAAAGAATTAAAACAGTTTCTCAACTCAGTCTCTCACTTGCTCGTACGCTAGCGCTAGGTGTGCCTCAGAGCTGGGATTCAAATTTTTAGGTCACACATGGACGAACCACATCCTGGTAATCAGATCCTGATAAGATTCTTGTTTTCTCTTGCTGCTGATTGAAAGTGAGTTATAAACCCGAATACACAAGTGCTACAACTACCCATCAGTATGCGCTTTTATAATTCATTAGTAATGCAAAAACGTATAAAAAGGCTTTATTACAAAAGTCTATCCAGGTCTGAAAATTAAGTACAAAAATACTTAGTGAAAGCAGAATGGCAACTGTAAGGTTTTAGTATTACATGCAAGACACAATCTGACTTTTCACTCGTATCGATAAATTAGGTCTTCTTAAAGACCAGACGGAAGAATTTTGAACGGATCGGCAAATTTTTAAAAAAAAAAAACTAAAAATATCTTTTGCAGTAAAATAAGAGAGCTACAAATTCGAAAAATTCCGTAACTTCAAATTTTAATATTTATTGTTTTAAAGAGCCTCTTCCGCCAAAGCGAAGATGGTAGGTGATTTTAAGTTCCAGCTTATCAAAGCTCATTAATATTAGCCAGCCAATACGTACCATCATCTCACTAAAAAAATAGCGAGTAAACATTTTCTGCAACACTTGTTGCAGATGATTTATGGCCAAACAGGCACTGATGGTCGTAAATTCGTTTTAAAAGTGATCCGTTGAGCAGGCTGTTCAGTTTAGAATTTTTCAGTTATCGCTTGTTTTGGCTAATTTTTTGAAAAATTAGCCCACAGCTACACGAATGCGCAAACTTTCGCCGAATTCATATTTAGGCGGCCTTCCAGAATGTGGTAGATTAACCTAAACATTTCTGAAAACTCTGCTTAACTATAAACATCAATGAGGAAAAATCGTTGGTATTTCATTAATTGATTTTAATACATCAAAAATGTTCATTGGCGATCAGCCTGCCAATTCATCCATCAAATGGATCTCAAAAACATTTGAGATAAATGTAGCAATGAAATAAATAGTGCAACAGCTCCATAACTGTTTCCACAGCTTATATTTTCCTGAGAAGTTCTTTGTAAAACTAAAACTGCGCTAATTTGGCAACAACAACAAAAATTCGTTGTAAATCGCAACGAAAGACTGCAATCCGAAGTAGATTAGGGCTTTTTGTAGATAAAACATATGACTTTCTCCTTCTGTGCTTCACAGTATTCAGACGTACTGACGATGTATGTAAAACCAGCGTCGGAACAAATAATGTCGATGACAGCATCATTAACTTGCTCCTGAGCGGCTTTATGGATTGCTCGTTTGGACGCTACGGGATCCGTTTCGTTGATGTTCTGCAAAAGATATCTATTAGCCGACTTTACAAAAAAAAATAAATTTCGACTTCAGTCGAACTCCAGCAAAAGGTGAAAATTAAATGGCGTTTTCACGCAAAAGAAAAAAAATGATTTGAAAATGCTCAGCCAAAATGATATTTCCTTCGCAAATCGGCCTTACTTTTTTCAGTCATTTTCATGTCTTCAGTTACTTCCCTTCATTCCTCTTTCAAACTGAGAATTACAGACCTTTGTGAGTAGATCTTCCAGAATAATGCTGTTACACTTATTCTCCGAAATGGTTACAGCTCCACGAGCCTTCCGTGCTGTTTGCGTACTTGTTGTTGACGCTGGCGTTGCTGAAACAACAGGCCTTCGCATTCATAACGCTGTGCAGCAGTGAGTCTTGCTTTCAGTTAAACAAAACTTACTAATTACTAGAAACAGCGAAGGCATTTAGAATATATGGCTTCTTGTTCTTCGGTATCAGCAACAGGAACTTCAGCACTTTATTAAAAGATGGCAGTCCAATGCTTCAAAATTTACACTCAGTGCAAAAACGCATCTAACTGATCTCGCCATAGGCCTTTATGGCTGCGTAGGACTGTTTAAATGCCTATCTAGCCTATATGGTTTCCGGATAATTCCAAAGATGTTCGAACAGGAAAGCTGAACTTATTCCGCTGAGTAGGAATAAAAAGGTCTCATATTTCATATATCCTAAAATGCTTAAAACCACTGTGTTAGGTAGGTGCGACTTATCTTAAAGGAAATATTCTGAAGCAATAAAACTGTGACGCAGAGGTGTTTCGTTCGTTCCAATCCGGAAAAAGTATTTGTGATTTAAGAAAGCTGAAAACCAATTTTCAATGATCTGCTTAAGCGATGAGCATCTGACTCAATTGTCGTCACTCTGCTTTGTCAGGAATTATTACATGAGGATTTTTTGACAAATACAGAATTAGGGAAGCTATTTTTTAATATTGCTGTGTAACAGAAATATGACATTTGTTATAGTCTGCCATCAGTGCTAAAGCCATTCGTTTAAAAAATGAAGCGGCCAAAAAAACGGGAAAAATAAAAAGTTTTAACAAAGACAATGAGTGAGCTATATATACATGTGATGATGGAATCCGCAGCGGCTTGAATGGGCATGTTTTACTGGGAAATATTTTGTATTTTTGGAGAAGACTGGAAATTAACATTCATCAAATTTTGCAAATACTATTATTAAATCTGAGCGAACTGAACAATAAATAGACTACATTTCAATCATATTGTACTTTACTTTCGCATGCTTCTGTTGTTCATTTTTAACTCTTCATTTTCCTGATTTCGTTCTTGAATTAAAGAATTATACATGTGTAATAACAGCTGGTGCGGTCAGTTCAGGAAATGACTCGGCAAATAAAAAATGCACAAAAAGACAGTAAAAACATACACTGCTGTACAGCGTCGGAATCTGGAATTGGTGCAGCATCAGCTTGTGTAGCCTGAACCTGAGTCTGCGGCTGTAACTGACCTTGTTGTGGCGCTGCTTCTTGATATGCTTGAGGCTGCGGTCCTTGCTGAGGGAAGGGTTGCGCAAATGGTAGTGGCCCCTCTGGCGAACTCTGTGGCCCACCGAGATATGCTGGACCTTGAGCCTGCAGTGGTGCTGGCAGTGGAGGCGGCGGTGGTCCTGTAAGTACTCCATTTAATACTTCTAAGTCATTTCTTCAAACTCTACGTTTATTCAGATTTAAAAACAGCAATACCCCTGATTCAGGCCTGATCAGTGGTACTTCCGCAGCATTTGACCCAGACATCGCAACTCAAAGTGACAACATCTCCGGTCAAACATGGCAGGCTTTGTAATCTGACAGCTCTCACTAGGATCAAAAACCAGTGCGCTATTCTGTACGGTTACGCGAGCTAAGGTCAATTAGATGAAGGTGGCACAAACGAAAAGAATAACACAGCATAAACAGGATACAGAAGCAGATGTGTGCTTGTAAAAAAGAAAAAAAAACGACATAAGAGACGTAATCAGTGAAAATAAATTGGCTCGTTTTTTGGACAGGCCGACTCTGCAGAAACGTGGAGGGCAGGAAACAACAAAAACCCCAGATGTAGCAAAGTGACCACAAAACAGGCAAGATTTTTTAAAATGCACACACAATCGCAAGTTAAGGAATAAACAGATCAGCTAAGACCATGGAACAACATCATTTAATGTTCTTGGAATACACAAAAAAGACATTGAAGGATAGAGTGTGATACAGCATGGGAGGGCGGTAGTTCGGTACTTCAAAAATGTTGACAGGAATAGAACAGGATTGATGAAGTCAAGTTTACTGCTAATGGGAAATGCTTATCGCGAACTGCTTTCTATCAGTTTTTCGTTTTGTAATTTAACACAATTCAGCAAAATCTGGATAAACTCTTCAAAATCATAAAAGTCTACAAGTTACGACAAGAGACTCTCAGCAGCACCCACATTATGCATCATTCTTAAGCGCAGAGAAAGCTAGAAAAAATTATACTGATATATACAACAGCGGCGAATAAAACTAAGAAGAGAAAGACGATGTGACGGAAGCAGCACACCTTCGTAGCAAAAGAAATTTATGCGAATTAAGAGGTGTAGGTTCCAGAGAGCAGTAAAAACGCTTCAGTCAGCGCATTCTAAGCTGCCTTAGAAGGGCCATTCGGGAATGCAGAATAATATACAGCATGTTACAGACCAGAATGTATCCTCTTTCTGCTAGTGAGAAGACATGTGAAAGGTAAATAAATGGCCAGCGCACGGGCTGCCCGTGCGAAGATGCGTTTTTTGCAGAGTTCCCCGCAGGT